AATTTGAAATTAATGAAAAATAAATGTTGGAAGAAATTCCATAAGAGGGAAAAACATGAATATTTTAAAGATGCAGAATATTATATTATTTTCAAAAGTGCGATGGAATCTTTTTTATTTTTTTTTATTTTTCATGGATCTTCTCTGTTATGCATAAAAAGAAAATTAGAGTGAAGAAAATACGAGAATCCCTTTTTTCGTTCTAGAAATGAACTAATAATGCATATCTCATTTAAATAATATTAATTTTGTATCTAAAGCTCATTACATTGAATTTAATATCAAATATTTATAGATATAATGAAATTATCTCGTCCTGAAATCATTAATTTTGAAATATTAATTTTGTTCAATTTATACAACGAATGATAATTTAACAATGTAACTTTATTTTCTGTATTTATAGAAATAAACAGATAATTCTTGATTTCTTTTTCAGTTAAGTTTAAACTTAAATTTTTTTATTACCTAATCAAAATCTAAATTGTGATATAATTGTTTTATATCTATCTATTTTATATTTCAGTTATATTCCAAGATAAAAATTTTATCAAAAAATTTATTTGAAATCAAAAGATAAGTGATCGAAAGTTTTAGATATCAACGTGAATTTTTTTAATCCTCTACACGAAAAACTTAAAAGAAATCGATTCTCGTGAAAAGAATCATCATCAAATACGCAACGATTAATTAATCTGGAAATCAAGCTTTAACATCCAATACTAACATTTTGTTTCCAATTTAATATTTATTCATGTAAAAATTTAAATTTTAAAAATAGTATTTGTCAGGTGTCTCAGCTTCGTGTTCGTGACATTCGCAAGAAGAACAGAGAGGATCCTGCGTCCAATGTGAATTATTGATCCGTAAAGAACGTAAGACATATATCTACGTTAAATGATTATAAATCGTGGCCTCGACGTTAATAATGTAAGAAGATTACTTTCGTGAACTTTATATGTTTTATATATATATATAACCATTGAGAAAGAGTTGAGTGATATTCGATGATATTCGTGTAAACCATCATCGCTTAATTTATCCGATTGATAAGATCGTTATCAGAGAAAGAAATGTAACATCTGTCTGATAATGTTCGAGTTCAATGGATCATACATCGATTTTTCAATATAATTTTCGATATACAAAATTTCTTTTGCTCGATATTTATTATACTTACTCAAAAATTGATTTGGAAAAAAATGACACGTGTAGATGATTGGATACTTTCTTTAATCAGAATATTTAATCTATTCAAGAAAACATGTAAAGAAAAATTGTACGATCAAGGATAAAATAGTACATCATTTGGAAACGGAAATAACATCAATTCATTCGAAATAACAGGAATTTCAAATACTGAATTATTATTTTCTCATTTTAAATCTGACGAAAGAAAAAAATAATTTCAAGTAAAAATCGTTATATATTTTATCTTATAAATAATAAAAGAAGAAAAGTAGCTATGATAGCTTATAAATAAATAAGCTATGATAGCTTTGTTTCTATACAGAAGAACTATTCTATATTCTATTCTCTTCTGGAATCATAATACTAAATCAATAATGGCATTATTTGAAATAATATTTCAAATTAGCCGAAAAATAATGACGTTAAATAAACAAGATTATATAATATTTCGAATAATAAAATAATATTTTATTCACATGAAAACAATCGCATTATTTCCCACAAAGATACAAAGATCACGTTCACGATTCTTGTCATCTCGCCCGTCAAAAATTTATCTGCATATCCGTTTCTTAAATTACGAAGGTAAACGAACGCTTAACGCGATCAATCTAAATGCAATTATGTCCCCCACTGACGCCAGATTTAGAAAGGATAATGCCACCGGTTGAAAAAGGATAGTAGGTGAGGTGGTGCTGTAAGGATCAATACGCCATCCTCTCTCCAGAGAGAGAGAGGTTCACGTGTTGCTCCCGTTTCCGGTGCCACCTGGCGAACTAAAAAGGATCGATGTGCATTTCCTGCGACCACTGGTAATTACCAATCTACACGGCCATTATCAGATGAATAATAACAGGCATTTATAAATCATTATATCACTCCACTTCACGTCAAGTTCAAACATTTTATCTGATATTATGTTCATTTTTCAAAATACTTCAAATTATTGGAAATACTTTTATACATCTTTTTCACACTTATATTTCATAGATCAATAAATCTAAAAAAAATTATTTATCTTAAGGAATATAACATAAAAAAAAAGTATATATCTTATCTAATATTTTTTCATTCTAATATATTTTATAATATTCCAAATTTCGTAGATCTTTTCTTGTTTTTTTTTTTTTTTCAGTGATATTAGAAAACGTGAATAACCGTAGAAATTACTTATTACCAAGAAGAACAAAACCATGAAACTTCTTAGATCCAAAATTTCACGTATAACATTATAATTAAAAAAGAGATAAGTTTTATGAAAAAATAATGCTTTCACGTTTCTACAATAAAGATCTTCTTTTATCTATAAAGCCAAAGACTCGTTACAAGACGTTTAAGAAGAGTAATTTATTCGGCCAACTGTCGATTAAGAAAATTAGATTAGACGTTCCTTTCGTTAAAACGATGGCCGTGTTATACACGACAAGGAGGAAATTTAGCGGTGCTTACTTTTAAGAAACCACGTCTCCTTAAAATGAGACTTTTCGTCCCGGTTTTTTCATCCGAAATCCAATCCTTCCGGCCAAGGGAAAGAAAACTGCACTCTCGAATAATTCACACGAACACCCCGCCTCAAGAGTCCTCGTTTTCCTCGGATAACCTTTGAATCGTTCATTCCGTCTGCGCTTTTGTAGAAATCGATATTTTAAGAGCGGATACTTCGAATAATTCAGAGAGCAGAGTGAAAAAGAGATGGAGGAAAAGTAGAGAGGACGATTCGAATATAGAAAAGGAATGATAACGAGTGATGTAATTAGAGATTTTAATAAGGCATTGGACATGGAAGAAAAGGGAAAATATATAAATCCTGAAATACTTGAAATAATTATATTTTTCTTTTCCCGTGTATCATTGTGATGTCTTGACACAGGAAATTCATGGAGCTCGAAAATAAGAAAATTGGATAAATAAAAAGGATCATAACTTTTGGGATAGATAATATTTGTTGGATCGAAAAGGAGTCGAAAATGTTACGTAAGATGTTTCTGTATTGGAAAATTTTTCGTATTAGAAAAAATTTCGAATAAAAATCATAAATCAATCATCGAAAGCAAAAATCATAACGACAATAATAATCCTAGCATAAATACATTAATAAAGATATAACTTTATTCCAGAAATAAGATTATAAATCATTATAATGATAGATAAGATTATTAAGAGAATTACTCACGATATATTATATAAATATCGATAGTCATTCTCATTATAAGTTTAAATTATAAATTACAAAATATCCATAAGATAAATAGTATATATATAGATAGTATGATCGTATATTGATCGTATATAATCTTTATTTTTATTAAAATAAAGATTATATATTTAAAAGATCAGGAAAAAACAGTACGTATTTACGTGTTTTTCATGCAGAATTTCTATTTGTGCACGTGGAAATTATCTTTTTTTAAATCTTTGTGCTTGAAAACAAGTTAAAAATGATGTTTACCGATAAGTAATATAAATATGAATAATATAATATGTGATGATATTATAGAAATTAAATTTTGTTGTAAAATATTTGAGATTTGTTTAAATATCATAACATTTCTGTATGGAATCGTTTCATACCTTTCCACTGATATTTAGGAATTTTATTTAAACGTATGTTCTTTAAAATCTAATTTCTATTTAAGTTTCTATTCTTTTTTTAATTTTAAACTTTAAGAACTTTTGTAAATATCCGAATGTTATTATTTTCAATTAATAAGATAAATATTTTAATTCAAATTTAATTTAAATTAAATTTTTAGATAATAATGATTCTAATATGTTACATGCAAATAAAATTCTTTTTTTTTTTTTGCATGTACATAATGTAACATAATGTATATTTTTAATATCTTATAATATATACATTTAAAAATGTATTATATAAGATATTATATAAAATATAGATAGTACAAAAAATTAAAAAAAAAAAAAAAAAAAGATTTCTAAAAAGCATAAAACAAGAATTAAATTTTAATAATATTTTTATATTAGGATGACCAGACAATCATGATAATACAAATCTATATTGCAATATTAATTTAAGCAATATTGTTTTATACATAGCTTTATATATTATAAAATAAATTAATTCCTTATTAAAATATATCAATTAAACACGATATAGTAACTACTATTTCAAAAAATTATCTTTCATCGTGTCAATATTTATTTATCAAAATCGTCGATACTTATCAACATTAATCTTTCCCAAAGATTAATTTAAGAAAAGTCCAAAGTACGTTATTTGAAATCACATATTCTTTTAGAATGTGTATATAGCACAAATCATGCAAATGTATATTATTTAATTTATTTAATTATTGAATATTAAATTTCATTCCCCGATATCTATTCGAAAAATATTATTGAATGCAAATAATAAATTATTTTATGTTAATATAACTATCATTTAGTTGCCTAACTAATTAACTAAAAATTTCTTTTAACCGGGAATGAGAAATTATAACAAATCATAATAAATTTGAGTGATTCAACATTAATCATCAGCTCCCTTTACTTTAAGAAACAAATAGCTTCACAAACAAGTGAAATTATTAATTATAATTCGTAATATATAATAATCGCGTATAATAAAAAATGAGAAATTAATAATAATTGTGATATTTCAAATAATTCCTATTAATCTTGATTGAAACAAACATGAAATGAACCTGTGAATGTTATCAACAAATATCTATATTATTTGAAAATAATTAATTACGCAATATTGATATTTAACAGAATGTTGTGTGATATCTAATCTTAACTTAAAATAAATGTTATATATTGTATTATGAGCAAGACTATAAATCTATCTTCCCTGATATTTCGATTCAGTTGGTTAATGTACAAGAATCAAACATGATCGGAAAAATTTTGATTATTTGTACATTAATTACATTAATTAACGGTAAGAATTTTAAAAAAAAAAAGAAAGGTTAAAAAGAAAGATTAATGATAAGACTTAATCGTATAATATCGATCAATTTTTTTATTATTCTTCTATCAATTCGTTATTAATTATCGACTTTCTTTTTTCATTTTTCAACATTGTTAGAGATTAATCAGTTGTTAAAAATTGATAAAATTCGATTTAAATATAAAAAATTATACTAAATTTCTTAAACATTCCAAATCTCGTAAACATACAAAATCTAGTATTAGCACTCTATATATATATACATCCTGCATAATTAGATTCGTGTTAATGATTTAAATTAAATTATTGATTTTTAAATTGAATTGAATTATGGTTAAAATTTATTTCTTACTTTCTCCATAATAAAACAACAAAGTTTTATATTATTTCATTTTATTTTATTTTTGTAATTTACTTAATTAGCATTTAAACTTTGTCAAGAGTCATAAAGTGGAAACAATACGAAATTTTCCAAAATCGAAAATTGAAGAGTACTTTTTGTATATATTCGCGATTTATTAATGTAGCCAATAAGCAGAGCAATCAAGTTCCATGACGAACAATGTTTCATTCTCAATTACTAGAAACTAATTATTGTGTGCTATTATTATTTGTATAACAACTTTTTTTTTTTAGCTTGGAATTATAATCCAAAAATTATAAATGGGGAGGATGCCAAAGAAGGAGAGATACCCTATCAAGTAAGTTATTTCATAATAGATGTTACAAAAAAAGAAAAGTAAACTTGGAATCAAGAAGAGAAAGATTGCAAATGATATTTATCAAAAAAAAAAGCACGAATCTATCATCTATCTTCTTGAATTACTAGAATACTTTTTTTCATTTTTAGGTATCACTTCAGAAGAAATTTAGCTCTTTCCATTTTTGCGGTGGATCTATTCTTAATGAAAATTATGTGATTACGGCTGCTCATTGCATGCAGGGGTAAGTCAATAAAAGATATTTTCTTCAAAACTATTCTCTAGAAATCGATATATCACACCTTATTCTAAAAGAACAATTTTTTATTTATTTATTTATCCTCAAAAGTTTAAAAATGTAGAGAAATTTAACTTGACGTGTAATAATTCATTATTAATGATTTTATTAAAAAACACAATTTATAGATTATGATTGATATTATAAATTTATGATTGATATTATATATTAAAGTTCTGAAAATTGAAAATACAGAAATATTTTAAAATTTCTGAAAGATAGTGTGATTTCACGAAAACGAAGTTAAAAATAAGTATATATTGATCAATACTTTTTTATACTTCGTCCAATAATAGATAATGAATCGATCATATAGCATATTTGTCACAACAACGATATAAATCAAATATGCTTTCTGAATAATTGATATAGAAAAAACTATAATTGCTTACATTTTTTATTGATAAAATTTGTCAACTTTCAACTTGGAATTTCAATGTATTGTTGTTAAGTATTCTTATAACGATTTAAACAATTTAAAATTCAATTTTCCCTGAAATCCTAATTTTTTTACAATATAAAATTTAAGGTATGCACTTTTCTTTTGATTATCATTTTTCATTGTTTGCTCCAGATGATCATCTTTATCAAAAGATGCAAGGAGATTTTTTTATAAATTATCAAGTTTGCAATTATCAAAATTATCAGAATCTCATAAAGAATTGAGAAAATAGAAAATATCAACACTATTTTAATATTTTGAAAATTTTAATTTCTTTCTCATATTTTTTTTCCTTTTATTTATTTATTTTTATATATATAGTAAATCTGCAGAAGATGTCAAGGTCGTATCTGGCACGATCAATTTAGCCATTCCAAGATACGAGAATGATGTCCATAAAATCTTTATTCATGAAAAATATAATTCTTTGGATTCGTGGAAGAACGACATAGCATTGCTCAAGGTACTTAAACACAGATTTTTTTCAAGTTAATGATTAATAATTGACACCACGAGACAAATTCTATTATTATGCTTTATTTGTTACAGGTTAAGACACCATTTGTGCAATCGAACTTAATTTCCTTCGTCCCTCTTCCATCACCAAACGATACCATTAAGACAAATGATTTGGCAATTGTTTCTGGCTGGGGCAAACTTAGTGTAAATAAAATTTACTTATTAAAATTATTTTATAACGAAATTATAAAATATTATTGTTCTATTTTTACATTTCATACACATTACATTTCAATTCTATTTTTATTTTTATAATTGAAATGTAACAATATAAATGTAATATTGAACTTTTGTAATATTATACATAATATTACAGGATATTTTTGAATTTTTTCTATGAATGTAATTGCAGCAAGAAGGACCATCAACTATTTACTTGCAACGAGTAGACATCCTGATTGCAAATCAAGAATATTGTGAATTAATGTATAAAAAAGTGAATTACAATATTTACGAAACTCAAATTTGCGCATACAATCCAACTAGTGAAAAAGGATCATGTAATGTAAGTTATATTTAATATAATCAAAGTTATATTTAATATAATTTTAATAATTTTACTTTCCAATGCTTTTTGAGGCTTTTTACTCTAATTAATTCTAACTATTTCATTCTTATAATTCTAATCATGAAAAGAGAGAGAGAGAGAGAGAGAGAGAGAGAGAGAGAGAGAGAGAGAGAGAGAGAGAAGAAAAAAGAAATAATTACTTTTTTTTTATTGAGTTTTCATAAAATGAATTTTCAATGTTGCTTGGATTGCAATTCTATTCAATCCTTTATTATTAATCTGTCTTACTTAACAATTTTGTTATTTAATTCATTTCTTTTACTTGTTATAATTTCTTTTTACTTATTTATCATTATTATTGAAATATATATAAAATAAATGGAATTAAAGATAAAATGCTTTTCTCCAATTTGAAAAGTTTTGCAATATCACTAGAATAGAATATCATAGAATCACTAGAATTTTACTTAAGAATTGAATTTATATTTTTCTTTTTATGTAGGGTGATTCTGGTGGCCCCTTAATCGTCAATGGAAAACTCACTGGTCTCGTTTCATGGGCAATGGGCTGTGCCCTCACTGATTATCCAACTGTCTATACCCGCGTTGTATCATATCTTGATTGGATAAAAGCAAATGCTGTATAAATTTTACAGTTAACTTATAAAATTAACATGATTATTAATTTTGCACTCCAGACCTGTTTCGGTCGGTCGAACTAGCAACTCCAGACCAGCACGTTAGATGCGTTCGGTGACCTCATAAGATTACCATAAGATAATTACTCATAAGATAAAATTACACCTCATAAGATTATATAAGAGTAAAGAGTTTAGGAATCTATTTATGAAGCGATATTCTAAAAAAATCAAACATAAATAAATACTGTCGCCGTTCAAATTGCCGGAACAATGGTGTCAGTGGTGCCGAAGATCACTGGAGTTACGGCATTAACTCAAGTGATGACCGAGAATTACCGTTGGAGAGCAAAGGGTTAATATTATGGATTATGGATTATGGATTATGGATTATGCATTATGGATTATGGATTACTAATATATAATATCTAATATCTTATTACTATTACTATTATTATTGATATAATATCTTAAAATAAATAAATTAATCTTAATATTGATTGTAAAAAATCAAATTAGATTAAATATATATCTATCAACTATTCCATAAAAAAAAATTATAAAAAATATTGATAAAAGTTATAAAAAATTGATAAAAAATAATGTAATCCCTTAGTAAGTAATAAATATATATAATTATCATTATATTAATCAAAATGTTTCAAATAATTATTTAAAAATATTACAAATAATTATTATTATTAAATTATGATTATATATATTATTAAATATTATATATATTATATAATTAACTACACCAAACTTTTGTTTATATTTCTTTCTATAAATTTTAATATCCTGTTTAGTTCATTTCTTTCAAAGCAAAAAGTTTTTCTTACAATTTAACAATTTGAAACAGAAAAACAGAAAACGCATTAATAATCAAAAGAAATTATGAGAGATATAATGTAACACAAGATGTTTTTCTGTAAAATTTTTCCATTATCTTTATTTTATAAATATATCACCATCGATTATATAAATTAAATTAAATTCACAATCCAATAATCCCATTTTATCATAGAAAATACACTTGAAACTTTTAAAATAAACTGACTCATATAATACTCATAAAATAAATAATACATGCATCATACACATTATTAAACCTATTTGATTCATTATAGACCCAATATAGACAATATTAAATCAATCAAATTGTATACAAGCAATGTTAAATCAATCAGATACAACGTGTTAACAGGTCCAAGATACCAATATACTATATACGCAATAATAGACAAATCATGCAAACTAGATAAGATTGTTATCAAATCTAACTGACCTAAAATAGATATAATATAAACTTCATATCACAGAATATATCATATCTAATCTAAAGATACAAGAAAAAGTATAAACTTTTATAGAGAATAAAAAATCACTGAATAAATTCATGATGGAAAATACAGGACTTATAAGATTTTCAAAATATACCATATATGAACAAACAATTGGAGAAAATACTTAAATTAAAAAAAAAATCATCCAGAATCATCAAGAAGAGAAAAATCTTCGAAAAGATCATGAATTCTAAGACATTCTCCTGAACCTTAAGAATCTCTATTGTGTCACTGATCTCAAGAATATGCTAAATTTCCTAGGTTTGCTGAGTATGTAATCAATCTTCTGTTTTAGCATTGATGGTATGAATGCTATGTTATGAATTTGGTCTGTTACTAGTGTGATATATTTGATGTTTCATTGGATAACAATTTTGAGAAGCTACAACTGCTATATACTATTTCAAAATGTCATACTTATGTCATATGACATTTATTTTTAAATAGTTATTAAATTGTTATTAAATTATACACATATCATTCCAGTTTAATGTTTCTGGAATTATATGATTGTATATATCTGCATGTTTCTCCAATAATGCTAAAATAATTTCTGTTACTATAAATATACGTAATTTAATCTAATCATTTATAAAATCATTGTTTACTAGATAGTTTTAAAATAACTCATATTGTTTTTCTTGTTTCACACACACTGGCATACACGATTACAATTGCGTTCAAATATTTTCATCGAATTGGCAACTAATATCAGTTGTATTTTAATTCCAGATTTGTGTTTATGCAAGAACGCTGAAATCCAATAGTACCATAATTCACGTATTTGTAATACGTTCAGATTATTCACGCAAAAATCTTCATGTCGCAAGAAACCAGTCATCTCATGTATCCCTCTATCATAAATGTTATGAATATAACATATAACTACGAGACTGTCACAAATTGAACTAAGTTATTAATGATAAATTAATGTAATATCAAGTAAGCGGATTGAATTTATTTACAAATTAAATAACATATCATATTTAATATATCATATCGCTTTAAACTATTTAAGATTTATAATTATATTTTCATAGGATTATAATATTAACATGCTTCCATAGTTGTTCGCGATATCCGGATATTCATAATATATCTATGTTTTAGACTGTGCCGAGTCTGTGCGAATTGGTTTGCTGAATTTAATTAATAATTTTAATCTTACAACACGTGAAAGTTTCATGGAGATTGAAAGAGAGAACTTAATACGAATATACTACTTCTTTAGAACTAATTATAAAAGTTAATTCTAGAAAATTGTCAAACTAAAGATTTAAACTACATCAAATAAAATTTAAATATTATTATTATTAATTTACTTAATACTAAATCAAACAATACTTTAATTTAAGTTTAAATATTACTTAAAAGAACTTAAATATTATTATAACTTAAATTAAAATTAGAAAACAAAAACTTAAATATGGACTAAACTAAATAGTCTAATTTTAACTAGAAAAAAAAATTAAAACTATACTAAGTAAAAACTAAGATATTAATAACTACTAATAAGCTACTAAGCTACTAAGTTAATAACTATTAGCTACTTAAAATTCAATTTTGAGTTATAATACATGCATCTCAATAAAAAAAAACTATATCACACTGATAATTTAAAAAAATTTTATTTAGTGATAATATATTGTCTTGTATATATTACTACTAGTTAGAAGAGTAACAATCGACAATATTAAATTCAAAGAACGTTATAATTAGCAACAAGAACTGATCATGATTCTGCGCTATCTAGTGGTAACTTCAAGTACTATTGTTTGATCGAAGAATAGATCAACGCACTATGATAAATAAATTATAAAAAGATATTTATTTGCAAAAATTATTATTATTAACATAAGGATCTAACAGAAAGCGTTGATTCTAATTTTAAATAATCATATTAAGCGTAAATAATATATATTTTAAATTATACAAAATTAATTATGAATTTAATCTCACGTTGTAAGATTAAAAAAGAATGAAATAAAAAATAAAATGTTGACTCCAACTCGATATAGGACTGCAAAGGATTAATAAACGACATTATACTTATCATCACTATCATGATAGTGTTGTATAACGCGAAATTGCTTGAGGCTACTTGAAGGAATGGCTCTTCGTGAAAAGGGAAAACTCATCTGAGAAACGAATTCGTTTCCTTTTCCTCTTTCGTTTACTCGGGACTTCATTTTGGTGGCAACGGTCAATAAAATGTTCGAACAAAGAAAAATTTTCATTTTTCGTGGTATATAATTTTATTTTATGACGATATTCAATGAAAACTTTTATATCATATTATTGACATATATCTGTGTAAATAAATAAATGACAAAAAATAATATCGATAAAAATATATATTCATAAAATAAATTCATACATATATATTTGCATAATTGCATTTATGTCGTCGATTTAAAATAGAATTTATTAAATAATCTACGTTTTCGTGAAATTTTTTAATATTTTTACTAATAGTATTTCAAAATAAATACCACTTGTGAAAAATATTATATGAAAAATCTTTTTTTCTGATTAAAACCAATATATTAAATTATTTGTTTTCAAATGTTATGATGCTATATTTATTCGGAGATAGAATTTAATGAATTGATATCATCTGTTAAATTTTGTATTTTTATTAATTGTTATTAAAAAACTATATTAAAGAAGAAGAAATTTGTTATAAATAATATAAATATTTACACAGATATCTTTTGCTAATTTTTCTTTGTTCTACTAATTTTTTTTACGAGTAAATAATCCTTCAAATTTTGATTTTAAATTTCGTGAGAAAAATAACAAAATTCCAAATAAATTAATTGATAAAGCAAAATCAATAACACCATGACATATTGCTTTCATTTCTAATATTGCTTCGATGCAATTGATGAATATATGTACATAATTTTTAAAATAGAATTAAACAAATTAATTTAATTTACTCTTCCTTGAACATCTTAAGGATTAAATTTTGCAAAAATTTCTTGAGAAAGATGAATACTTTTTATTGAAGAGATTCCTTCGTTTAAGAACTTGGATCAAAAATCCACGATTTAAATTTCCCTTAAAATTTCTTTACTTCCGAATCCCTTAATAGATTCTGAATAAGTTTGACGACGAATATAAATTCTCAGATATCTCGGTCATAATTTCATTCTTAATAGCCGGTATTATTACTCCAGCGGCGTAACGAAGAATTTTTTTTTTTTTTTTCAATTAAAATCTTAAACGAGAGAAAGAGGAAATTTTATTCAAGACCATTTAACAATGGTAACAAACTTCGAGATGCTGCTGGATTGATTTATCACCATATATTTTAACCATCATCAAATATTTTCTACTTTTTAGTAACGTAGAATTTCCATTCGTGATAAAAAAAAAAAAAAAATAAATGCGCATATGGTCTTTGGGATGGAATGAAAAATTTTTTGCAGTGACGAAAGAAGAAGAACGAGAGGAAATATTATTGTACAAAGGGAAATTCTCGCGGGAAATTCTATTGCGAGCAACACTAACTTCGTGACAGGATGTTACGCGATGGCAAAGCTTCACAAATATTTGTATTCTGAAAACACGAAGCGCGAATTAAGAAATAATGGGACAAGAGACGTGTGAAAGTAAACATTTTCTCTCGCCGCAAAAAGAAGTCCCTTTTTTACTCCCATTGGTGTATACTTTGAAGGTGAACGAAAAAGGAAACGTTGAAAATTATTAGGCAAAAGTTAATAAACGTTTATCAACCGATGTGATGAAATTGTAAAAGAGAATTATTGATTGTGTGATTGATAAGAAGAAAGGAGGAAATGATTTCTCTCTCTAAATCTTCTCTTCTCTCTAATTAAACAAACGAAATTTATTCTATTATTTTCTGCGTTA